CCACAGGAGGTGGCAGCACTTTACTGCGGGCGAGTACCCTGCTGAGCGCCTGGCATTTCTAACTGCACAGGAACTCTCTATACCCAAATAACTCAGCACTTCCCCCCCCTCTCGCCCATTTAGTTTTCATTTTGCAAGTCCGCCAGACCGGAGGCATCTTCCAATCATTGTTACTGTTCATTCTTGATTAGTCACCAGATCTTTCCGACTCTGTCCCTATGTCTCCTCTATCCTCAGGTCGCTGCTTTGGGTCAGACACTCCCGTTTCCCGCCTGGACAACGAAGGTGACCCCTTAACTTGTCTCCATGCCCCAACGAATGCAGATCTCTGATTGTGTCGTCGTGTAGCACAAAACCCTACAGAACTCCCCAAGACCTGTAACAGTCTAAATTTAGCCTCTGGTTTAAAGGCATTTAGACTTGAGCTTGCAGCTGTCTTTCTGGCTCATTCTCTCTGCTCCTTTCTCCTGCTACTTCTCGTGGTCCACATTAGCTTTGGTCTATGTCTTTGTTCACTCTACTGCCTCTGTTTGGAATAAAAACCTCAAGGAGCATTTCTGCCTTCTAAAATCTTACCCTCAAGGATAAACTCAAGGAGCGGCCCTCTGGGTCCTTGGACAATAACTGATGCTGTCCACTGGAAGGCTCTTGGATATTTAATAAGAAAGCACTGTTTTCTGCCCCAAATGGCCTTTGTCTTAGTCAATCCTATATTTGCCTCATTTGCATTTGTCACCTTACCTAAGTGACTATAAGATCCTTTAGGACAGGGACTGTTTCATCCATTTTTGTATCTTTTAGCAAACACAGCACCTCAGATGGTAAATGTTAAATAAATGAATGGAAGGCAGGTAAGAAGGCTGGTTGGCGAAGTCAGCTTCCTAACCCATGTGACCATCTCCCAGTTCATAAAGTCCTTTAATATTATAGATAGAAGAGTTCAGCTATAACGAAGCCTATACACGGTCACATACAATCATGATTTTAATATAGAATGCATGGAATAATAATATAATATCTAGAAATTATAAGGAAAGGGAAAAACTATTAATTCCCAAACTTCTCAAGAAAAAGATCTGATAACATGTTACTGTTACAACTTTATATTTACAAATTTAGAATTTATAAAAATCACATAGCTTACCGAACCTCAACAGTGTTTTGCAAAAGTATAAAATTCTAAAATTCGTGGAATATCAACAGACCCTAAAATAGCCAAAACAACCTTGAAAAAGAAGAACAAAGTTGGAGGACTCACACTTCCTGGTTCCAAAATTTACTCCAAAGCCACAGTCATCAAAACAGTTGGGAGTGGTATTAGGACAGACATATAGACCAGTGGACTAGAACAGAAAGCCCCCAAATAAGTCCTCACATATGGCCAATTGGTTTTCGACAAGAGCGTCAAGCCCGTCAATAGGGAAAGGACAGTCTTCTCCACACACGGTGCTGGGAAACCGGGTCTCCACATGTAAGTGAGTGAAGCTGGGTCCTCACACCATATAAAAACATGAACTCAAAATGGATCAAAGACCTAGGGCCGGCCGAGTGGCTCAGTTGGTTAAGAGCTCGCTCAAGAGTTTGAGCTCTGAGCAACAGTGGTTCGAGTCCAGCCCGAGCTGAGCAGCTGCTGAACTGCCAACAGGTAGCAGGATGGCTCAGCTAAAAAAAAAAAAAAAATGGATCAAAGACCTAAACGTGTGAGGGAAAACTATGAAACTCTTAGAAAAAGACACAGAAGAAAAGCTTCATGACATTGTCTTTGGCAATGATTTCTTGACACCTAAAACCAGAAAAACAGAGAAACTGCACTACATGAAAATAAAAAACTTTTGTAGTACCTCAAAGGACACTATCCAGACAGTGAATAGATAATCCATAGGATGGGAAAAAAGTTTGCTAATCACATATCTGGTAAGAGATTAATACCCACAATACATAAACAACTCCTACAACTTAATAAAAACAACAAAAAAACAACAAACAAATTCAAAGGACTGAACAGGCATTTCTCTAGAGAAGGTATATAAACGGTCAAGAAGTACATGAAAAGATGCTCACATTACTAATCATTAGGGATAAACAGCTCCAAACCCAATTAAAAAACACACTTTATACCTATTAGGATGGCTATTATAAAAATATGAAAAATAACAATTGTTGGTGAGGATGAAGACCAACCCTGCACAGCTGGTGGGAACGTAAAATGGTGCAGACCTTGTGAAAATACTTGGTGGGTCCTCAAAGATTTAAATGTAGAATTTCAATATGATCCAGCAACTCCACTTCTAAGTACATAATCCAAAGGACTCAATGCAGAGATTCACACAGATACCTGTATAGTATCTGTATAGCAATGTTCACAGAAGCTGTACTTACAACAGCCAGAAAGTCAAAAGAACCCAAGTCCATCATCAGACAAATGGATAAACCAAATGTAGTATTATACATCCCATGGGACATTGTCCAGCCTTAAAAAGGACTGACATTCTTAAAAATATTATGCTAAGCAAAATAAGTCAGACACGAAAGCACAAATATGGCAAGATTCCATTTGCATGAAATACCTAGAATAGGGAAATTCAGAGAGACAGGCAGTAGACTAGAGGTTAGTTACCTTGGGGTTGGGAGGAGAGGGGATGGGAGAGTAATTTATTATTTAAAGGGTATGGAGTTTTAGTTTGGGGTGATACATAAGTTCTGGAAATGGATGGTGGTGATGGGTGTACAACATTTTGAGTGTACTGAACATCACTAAAAAATGGCTGAGGGTAAATTTTATGTTATGTATATTTTACTACAATTTGTAAAAAAAGACGCAACCCCTCTAGAAGGGCGTTGAGCAACAACTAACTAAACTACATATGACTTATCTTTTAAGTCAGCAACCCTGCTTCTTTCTAGGCACCTATCCTGAGGATACACCTCCAAGAACATGAAAACACAGAGCAAACATTATTCACTGTAACATGGCTTGTAACTGCAAAATACTGGAACTAACCCACATGCCCATAAATAGGACGCTGGCTGGCTGACGTCTGTCCATACAATGTACCACCGTGCAGCTACAGAAAACAAGGGCGGTCTCTCTGAACTAATAAGGCACAGGTCCGGGATGTATTCAGGGACAGAGCATGATATACTTCCCTTCATGTACGAGGAAGGGGGACCTAAGGGAACACACACACATCCATCATCTGTTCAAAAAGAAACACAGGAAGGGTACCCTGGAACTCACGTGAGTGGTTCCCTACAGAGTCGGTAGGAATGGGGCTGTGACAATAGCAGTAATGGGTGTATCTTTTTGTACAGCTCCCTGGGAACAATGGTAATATTCTGGGGGCTCCAAAAATAAAAACAAATTAAAGTAACCATGAGGTGGGGGGAACAGAAAACAAAATATAAACAGTGACAAATGAACCTAAATATTCCAAATGAATTACGTAGTCATAGAGAAAGGAGGGGGGGGAAATAATTTCAGTAACTGGAAAAAGGGTATTTTGACAGTAAGGCTAAAAAGATAAAAAGAACTGCACACAAACGACAACTCTGTCACCAGGAGACTTTTCAGAGGGATATGGGTGAGAAATCCTGAATCACTTGACGTGTATGCTAGGACTGAACACAGGAACACGCTGTGATACCACAGCCGGGTTTCTCATGGCGAGGTAAGGCAAGGGCCAGGCAGGCGAAACGAGTTGAGCCCTGTGTCACCAGGTGGCAACAGGAAGTAGGAAGTGATTTTTAAAAACAGGCCCATTCCAACAGGAGGCACCTTGAAGGAGCTCCTGATGGCCGAAGCTGGGACTCTGAGCAACCAAAGAATGTTAGTATTATAGAATAATATAATTCATCGATATATAATATAATAATGGGATAAAACCAACAGCCTGGAGCTCATGCTGACACAGATAACTGCATAAGTAAGTGAGGGGGACAAACAGCAGCTCTTCCTCACAGCAGAATTATAATTAAGAAGTGGAGGCGAAGGGTGGAGCCAGAAAAGCGCCATTAGGTAAACACCACAGCAGTGCCCATTCCAGGCAGACCCAGGTAACGGAGACTCCAGTTAGTGGGCAAAAGGACATCTGCACAGTCTCAGAGACTCATCAATCAGGAGGGAGAACTTCAGCACTTCGTGGTGGAGCGACCTGGCGGGCAGTGCCTGAGCAAGGGCTCCGAGTTCACGCAAGGCCAATCCACGTGCGTCCCCTCCCTCACCGGTGTGGCACACTGACAAACGTCGCCGAGTTTCTGTGGCCTTCTCGACGGAAACGTGGAACCTCAATTAAATCCATGAGAAGATGTCAGACAAACCTACACGGATGGACATTCTACTAAATAAACGGCCAATTCTCTTCAAAAGCATCAAGGTCATGAAAGACTGAGAAAGTGTCACAGGGGGAGACTACAGGAGAGCTGATGACTAAAGGTGACGTGGGTCCTGGGTCAGGAAAGGGCGTTCCTGGGGAGCCCAGTCTGGGGACCTGAGTCAGGTCCGTGTGTCAGCTAATAATATTGCATCAGTGTCAACGTGCGGTCTTCCCGGGGTTTTGCAGGATGTTAACTTTAGGGAACTCTGAGTGAAGGGCATATGGGAAACTCTGTGCTATTTTTACAACTTTCCAAAAAGCTAAAACAAAAGAAGACATAGTTTATCTAAATCTTTGGTAGCTATGGTCGAGCAGATTCACAACTACTCACCACGCTGAATTACTACAACTGGTAATTTTTTTTAGTTCTGAAAATCTTGAGCGAGGTCTCCATTCTGCACTCCCTATCATGTGTTTGCTACTTGACAATAAGGGGGTGCTGCAATGTATGTATTAACATGGGTTTTTCACCCAGGATAGCCAGTTCTTTGGGAAGAGGGACCAAGACTTATTTATTTCTACATCCTGTGACTTACAGTCTTTGTCAGAACGAAATGCTCAATAATTGTATTCTGAATGAACAGACGTTATGTAGAAGATGTTGGTGCGACAGGCTTGTTTACTTACGCTCCACGAAGGACGTGAAGAGCATCCTGAAGCGGCTGAGCCGGCTCCCTTCGTCGGCCCACATGCGTATCACCCCCACTCCTGTCTGAAGCATCACGTCATTGGCCACCGTGCTGCAGAACTTGGCCTTGAGATTCTCAATCGAACTGCTTCCATCATAGACGGCGACGAAGTTTCTCTTGCATTCGTTGGAGTGCTCCATCTGATAATCTAGGAACCTCAGATAGATCTGCAACATGGAAACCAAGAGAAACACCGCTTTTAAAAAGATACATTAACTGGAATTCTCCAGTTCCATCATCCAGCTACATGCAGACTGAATTCTAACAGCTGATACGAAAACAACAAGGGGCCGATGCCTAAGTAGTAGGAAAACTAAGACTAATGGTCTGTTACTTTGGTTGTCTTAACAGTGGGACCAAGCACTAAGGAACCTAAAGTTTGTGTTTTGTCTGTAAAGAGAGGAAACTTTTTGTTCCATGAGGCCTGTTGTACATATTTTCCTTGTTATAAAAGCATCTCATGTACTGACAGATTGGGAGAATAAAAGGATCACTCATAATCCTAAAATTCCTCTAACTATTAACTGGTGAGTTTTCCCATTTTCCTTCACATTTTCAAAACCTAGGTTTAACTGTAAGACACACGCACCCTGCTTTGCTGAAACATATCCAAGTGTTTTTTCCTGAAATGGCGTTGTCATAACCATGACCATCCCCATGATGTCCTCTCACTTGTGCACCCACTGTCCTATCACACACTTCTGGGGTTTTAACATTTGGCCCCACAGGTCCCCAAGGCCTGTTTGCAATCTCATTCTCTCAGTACTTCAGACTGAAGCTTCTACTGAATTACCTTCAAGTTTACTGACTTTCCTCTATCATCTCCATTCTCCCATTGGTTCCATGGTGAATATTTTTTGAAATTTTGGATATTATGTTTGTCATTTTTAGCTCTAAAATTTCTGCTTGGTTCTTTTTTGTAGTTTCTATTTCTTTACCAAGACCTGTTTCCTCCAGTCATTTCCAGAGTGTCTACCTTTATTTCAGGGAGCATGGAAATAGTGCTGCTTTGAAGGGGTAATTCCATGATCTCCGGCCCGTTTGGGGTGGGGTCTGTGGACTACTGTTTGTTTCCTTTCAGAATGAGTCACATTTCCTTGGTTCTTTTTATGCGAGTGATTTATTATACCCTGGACATTTTGGATAGAACACTGAGACCCTGGAGAACGTTGCTTTTTGTTGCTGTTTTATTTTGGCAGGCAACCTTCCCAGTTAGGCTCAGGCTGCGCCATGTGGGCTGGCCCAGAACACACCCCACACAGGGACGCGGACAGGGGTCTATATTGTAATTTGGTTCTCGACACCTTTCTTGCATATGCAGCTCAGGGCTAAGTAAGAAAACCAAGGCTCTCCCTGGTCCAGTGCTCTGCCTGGTCTCCGAGACTTCTTCACATCCTCTGGACAACACGGTTTCCTCTTCCTAGCTCCTCTGGTGGCCAGAGAAGTAAATTTTCCTCAGAACTTTAGCCTCCTAACCTGTAGTGAGTTCTGAGTGAGTGACTGGGAGAGAGAGGGAAAAAATAATGGGGAGCCCCTAAAATCTCTCCAGACGTCATCACACCCTTCCTATGGTTCCTCAGTTTAAGGCAATGGGGCTTCTCTTGGGGTTTTGGTCCTGCTGCACTGTGGGACTGGGGCTGGCTTTGCACAGAGCTGGGTGGAGGGGGACAAAAGCAAGCTGGGGGATCCCCTTCAGTTAAGTCTGCTAGCTAGAGCAAAATTTCTCTGAGTTCCTGCTGCTTGGACCTGGTGAGAGTTCCACAAATCAGGCAGGAGACAAAGGAAAAGGAAAAAACTGAACTTATCTCCTTTATCGATCATTATTCAAGTTCTGACTTGCCTCCCAAGCCCAACTTCTAAAGGTTACTTTTCAGAATGTGCTGCCGTTTATATTCTGTCCAGAGTTTTTAGTTGTGATCAGCTGTAGTGGGGTTACTGGAGGTTGGGTTTATTTAAATGTAGGAAAATTGACGAACTTTGTATTGACGATTTATACTTCATGTCGTCTGTGTTTGATTTTTTTTTTTAAAGGAAGTGATACTATTTATTTTTTTTTTAAAGATTTTATTGGAGAATTGGGGGAGGGGAACAGCGTTGGGGAATCTGGGAAGGAGAACAGACAAGTTGCTGTCCTTTTGTTCTTCAGTCTGGTTGTGGAGGATGTTGCTTCACTGGCCCATGTTGGTATCATTGCGCTCTTCCCGGGTGGAGCAGTCACTTGCCAGCCATTGGACGGCCGCTCACAGTGGCTCATGGCAGCTCACGAAAGCTCATGCCCGCTGCCGGCCAGTCCCACTGCAGCCTACGCCGCCTCTGGCGACTCATGGCAGCCCAGCTCCAGGTCGAGCTGTTGTTCAGCATCTTAGCTGTAGAGGGCGCAGCGTCACTGGCCCTCATGTGGGATCCAGACCGGGGCCCTGCTGCTCAGAGCTGGCATCCCAAGCCAACTCCTAACCAACGTGTCACTCAGCAGGTCTGAAGTGTTTGATTTTAATAAACTTGTTTCCTAACCCATGGTTACAGAACTAGACTGTATTTTCTCATGTAAGTTTTAGTTTTAACAGTTAAGAATTGATTATATGTCAATGTAAGATAGGGGTCTAATGTCACTGATCAGCTGTTGTAATGCCAGTTATCAAGCATCTCCTTTTGACGTGGAAAGCTATCCATCTGTTATATACCGAGCTTCCATCCACATGTAGTTCTACTTTTAGATCCTTCACGCAGTTTCATTAGTGTGTTCATCGAATGACACCCGCACACTAACCGACTACCACACCTCTAGCTGAAAGGGTAAGCATCCCCACTTTGTTTTTATTCAGCACCGTCAGGCTCTTCCGGACCCTTCACTTTCTAATGAATTTCAGAATTAGCTTGCTCAATTCCCCAGAAAGCACTACCAGGGTTGGGATGGGAATTACAGGCTGACCTAGGAGATACCGCGGGTTGGTTTCCAGACTGCAAAAAAGTGAGTATTGCAGTAAAGCAAGTATTACGAATTTTCTGGTTTCCCAGAGAATACTAAAGAAAGTTATGTTTACACTATACTATAGTCTATTAAGTGTGCAACAGCCTTATGTCTAAATAAACTGGGTGTATACCTTAATTAAAAAAATACGTTATTGCTAAAAAAACGCTCACCGTCATCTGAGCCTTCAGTGGGTCATATCCTTTTGCTGGTGGAGGTCACACCCTCTTACAACATCGCCTCGATGTTATAATTTTAGCTGCATCCCACAAATTTGATATGAAGTACTTTCAATGTTATTGAGTTTTAAATGTGTTCAAATTTCCATCCTGATTTCTTCTGACCTATGAATCATTCACTAAGTGCTATATTATTAAATTTCCAAGCATATGGGATTTTAAAGTTATCTTCTGGTTGATGGTTCCTAATTTAATTGTATTTTGTCAGAGGGTGCTCTCTGACTGATAGCAAGCACTGGGATATATTTCAGACTATCTTTTCCTTCCTAGCGTATAGACTGGTTTTTATGAATCTTTCATGCATGCTTGTAAAAACCCCATGTTCTCAGGATGCTGGGTGCAAGATACCAGGTCCTTTAGGTATAACGTATTGGTTAGGTGCTCTGAGCCCTGCTCATGTCTGCTTGACATATTAAATACTGAGAAGTGAAAAAATTACCCACAAAAATTGTGGATTTATCAGTTTTCCCTGGCAATTGTCAATTCGTGTTTTGTATATTTTGAGGCTCTATTAGTACCCCAAATTTAAAATACTTTCCTTGTAAATTAGGGGCCTTTCTGTTTTAATAGTTCTATCAGCTCTCTATGTCAGGTATTTGTCTGGTATTTCCTTTCTAGTTTTGTATTTTCAAAATTTCCTGTAGTTATCCTGAAACAGGATACACTTGGGTTTTAACTGTAGAATTTGGTCTATTGATTATTTTTGCCCACAAATCCCTTAATTTTGCCCTCATTCTTAAATGCTAGTTTAACTGAATATGGAAATTTTAGAATTTTAGCTTGCCAGTGTTTTTTCTCAGCACTTTGAAGACATTATTCTGTTGTTTTCTGGCTTCTAGTTTGCTCTTGATAGTCTGATGTCATTCTTTGTAGGCAATCTTTCTTTTCTCTCTAGTTGTTTTAAGGATTTTCTTACTGTCTGTGGTGCCTAATGTAGCTGGGTGTCAATTAACACATTTTTTTTCTTCCTCTGAGAGTCACTGTGTGACATGCTTTTTGTCAGTTCTTGAAAATTTTCTTAAACTGCCACTCCCCAACCCCTCCCTTTCCCTTCCCCAAGGTACATTCTGGGTAATTTTCTCAGATCTATCATTCAGTAAGTATAGTTTTTACTTGTAGAAGTTCTATTTGGTTATTTTGAAAGTGTTCCTTGTCATTTTTCTTTCTCATCTTTCTGATTCTTTCCCATAGGCTATTTAAAACACTTACGTTCCTAGGGGTCTAATACACTTCTTGTTTGTCATGTCTGCTGTTAGTCGTGATGGGTTGTTTGCTCATGTGCATTCTAATTTGGGCTTGTGAGCTCAACTGCTTTACCTGTGGCAAGCCTGGAGTCTGCATGGCTATTCTGTGTTTGGTCTTGCCAGGTACCTCAAGGGTTTTATGAGTCCAGGACCATTTTGTTAATTTTTGGGCTAAGTGGTTCCTGGATTGAGCATGCAATGTAAATTCATATCCCAAACTCTATTACAATAAAGACAGGTTTCTAGGTAGAAAGTTTGAGAGGAGACCCCAGACTCAGCCTCATCCTGGGACTGAGCCAGGAGAGATCAGCTTCTTTGCTAACAACCTGTGCTGGTGGGAGTTTTTCTTCTAATCGACCACTCACGGCAATCGTCTCCCTTTGAGGGTCCCAGCTTTACGTGAGGGATCCCACAGAGCGCACGAGCCCCGGGTCTTCCTGTTTGCATCTCAGTGTGGCTGTTTATCCACGTCCCTGCCATGTCTACCTGAGTGATCAGTCACTAAGACAGCAGGGAGCATCAGACCAGCAATTTCAGTTTTCAGTTTATGGCTCTAGGTCAGTGGTTCTCAACCTGTGGGTCGCGACCCCTTTGGAGGTCAAACGACCCTTTCACAGGGGTCGCCTAAGACCATCGGAAAACAAAAAGATATTTACATTATGATTCATAACAGTAGCAAAATTACAGTTATAGATAGCAATGAAAATAATTTTATGGTTGGGGGTCACCACAACATGAGGAACTGTATTAAGGGGTCGCGGCATTAGGAAGGTTGAGAACCACTGCTCTAGGTTATAGTTTTTCTCTTCATTTCTATTACATACGAATTCCCTCCCTTTTTTGGAGCTCATCTATGTTTCTAAAAGGATATCTGTTATATTTTGTCCAATGTTTCCAGGTGTTTTGTAACAGGTGGGTTTTCAGGCTATCTAATCCATCATATTACCAAAGCTATAAATCATAATCCTTTAAAAGTATGTTCTCCCCCCTAGTCTCTCTTTTCTGTTTACATATATACATATTAAATATAGTTTTCTCTGTTGATATTCCTAGAAGTATAAATTAAGAGCAAAAAGCAGAAGTAGCAACGAATCTCAATCTGTGAGAGTTATTAAAAAACATCCTTCCTTGCAGTACTTTACAACAAAAGCTCTGACCAGCAGAGGACAGCACTGTGAGAGCACAGACCTAAGACTTAACATATTGGTGTTTTGGTTTTGACACTGCCGTTGCAACTGAGACCTTTGACAAAACACTTTAACTTCTTGTGACCTATTTTTCCTCTTCATAAAAACTTTTTTATGAATCTATGATTGTGCTGATCAACACCTGTACTCTTCAACTAGGAATCCACAGCGTTTAAGAATCTTAACATTCTTAAAATAAGAATCTTAAAAAAAAAATCTTAACATTTGTGTGACACTCCTGAAATTTACAGTGTAGCTTATTTACCTATCACAATGCTGAGATCTTAGGAGGTACCCAATAATGTGAATGAAATAAAATAAATTTTACAAAGTTGTAAGTTATATAAAGTTTATATAATCATAAAGTATCTGTATAAACCAAATAACACATTATGGGCTGGCCGAGTGGCGTATTGGCTAGGAGTTGGCTTGGGATGCCAGCTCTGAGCAGCAGGGCTCCAGTTCGGATCCCACATTAGAGCCAGTGATGCTGTGTCCTCTACAGCTAAGATGCTGAACAACAGCTCGACCTAGAGCTGGGCTGCTGTGAGTCGCTGGCAACAGCGTAGGCTGCTGTGGGGCTGGCGGCAGCGGGAGTGACCTTTCGTGAGCTGCCATCCAATGGCCGGCAAGTAACTGCCTCACCCGGGAAGAGCACAATGATAATACCAACATGGGCAGGTGAAGCGACATCCTCCACAACTAGACTGAAGAACAAAAAGGACAGCAACTTGTCTGTTCCCCTTACCTCAATTCCCCAGCGCTGTTCCCCTCCCCCAAGTCCCCAATAAAATATTTAAAAAATAAATAAATAAAACAAAAAAAAGAACACATTATGCAGAGCACGTCTTATGTTCTCTGAAATGACTCAATACATAATTGTACCTTAGCTTTTGGGGTAGCTTTGATTGTCCATATGCAGTCAACTGCTTGGCCGGGCTTTGTTTTTTCTTCTTGTTCCACCTGACTGGAACGCACGATTCCATCAGCTCCCGAGAGCTCAAACTGGCAATCTAGAAAGAGGAGAGGAGTGATGTTCAAAGGAAAAGATGATTGACCCAAAATGTCATGAGGAAAAACAGGTAATATACTAAACCTGGGATGGGATTTAAAATACCTCCTAGGTAAGTAAAGTCTGGATCTGTAACAGGAAAAAGAAGAAAGTTATTGGCATTTTGAGATATTCTGGAGTTACTTTAAGGCTTAACATCTTAAGTTATGTCTACGGCTACATTTAGTAACAATACAGAAGCTGTCACTGGTGTAGATGACAGACCACTGGTTATTTACGAGCATACTCAGGTGCTCACTCATAGGATCAAGGTTTTTAAAATGATAATGTTTATACTCTTGATCCATCATGAATTAATAACTTACTTATGCTACCTGACAACTCATAACTCTGTCAAAGCGGTAGCTAGTTCAAAGGTAAATAGATAAACAAAATGTGGTCTATACAATTCAATGGGATATTAGCCTTAAAGGGAAGGAAATTCTAACACGTGGTACAATGTGGATGAACCTGAAACATGATGCCAAGTGAAATAAGCCAGACGCTACAGGACAAATACTGTGTGATTCCACTTATGTGAGGGGCCTAGAGGAGTCAAATTCAGAGACAGAAAGTACCAGGGGCTGGAAGGCGTGGGAGGCGGGAGTTCATGTTTAGCGGGTTCCAGCTTGGGCTGACCAAGAAGTCCCGGAGATGGACAGTGGTGATGGTCGCACAGCACTGCAAATGTACTTAATGCCACTGACTCGTACTCTTAAAAAGGGTTAAAATGATGAATTTTATGTTATGTGTAATTTACCACAAAAAGTAGTAGCTAGTAAGCTGTTTTTTCACAATGGCAGGGGAAAGATGACCAGTGACATACAGGATATCCTGCCCTGTGAAGTAGTTCAAAGGGGATTAAGAACCAATAGTTTATATTAAAATAACTAATCTAATTAAATTGGTAAGTGTTTGATTGTTTTATGAACTGAATCAATTAACTGAAGTAACTGGTCCTTTACCATCAAAAAGACGCTACAAAATCTTATATATGAATCAGTTTTGCAAACAAGTGTAGATTACCCAAAAGAGAAAACAGACATCAAAAACAATGCTCTTAATTATTTGAATAATGTTTTTAAACATTATAAAACAAAACCAGGCAACTTTAAATGTAAAGATTTCTTATTTTGAAGAAAAGTAGCTTTTTCCTATATTAGTTGTATGTATCATGAGAGCAACTTTATATGGCTTATAGTTAAATTATAGACAAATTATAATAAAATGGTCAGTTTCTAGACAATATTACTTTACATTTTCATTTTATAGTACTTCCGAGTTTTTATATAAATCACATTTAATATTATGCTAATGATGGGGCTGTCCGGAGGATTGTGTAATATTCCATTTTACTGAATGAAAATGGAAACTGAATCAGAGGGAGATTATACTTTCTTAGATCACATAATG